TTCGAAGACAATGTCAGATAAACAGTCGGATTACATCCATAACTTTTAAAACCTGACCTTCGCAACAGCGAGTCTTGGAGTGTTTATACGGCTTTTTCAACTACGCATTGTTACTTGGCACAAGGCCTTCCCAGATATGCAAAATTAAATCGTCATGAATGAATCCCTCATCAAATGCAATGGTGCATTTCTTCCTTGTCCTATGAATGTTCGATCAGATGCATCACTTTCCTTGAGTTCGCGTACCGCAGCAACAGCAGTGCCGAGTTAGATGTCTTCCGTTTCCATAGTTTTGATTTTCGGTAGTTCTTTTTAAAGTCATATCATCTAGAAAATTTGTAATTGTGTCAGCGAGTAAATTTTCAGTTTTCCCTCCCGAATACCAAAGGTAGGATATTTCCAAGTACGTCTCTTACTAATCAATGTGTGTGCATACGTCGAAAACTGTAGTCAAATCAGGTAGTTTTTCAAAGGCTAACGCCGATGGATTTCTTGACTTTTTTCATAAGACATTTTTCAAGTATGCAAAGGAAAATTCGCTGGGAAACATTCGATCATTCCATGATTGTTTTTAAATCGTTTTTACCTCTAATAGAACGTTTATACCAAAATCCTTGTACTTTTTTAAAACAAAAAATAAAAAAAAAGGTTTTTCAGAAGTTTAGCGGAGAAAGTATTGCGTAAATTGTGAATAGTAAATTGAAGAAACTAGGTATTTCAATCAATTTTTCCTCTAAAAGTACGGACAAATTCAGACATTGTATTAAAAAAAACGTGTAAAACTTGATGGTCTTCCAAATTTGAATTTTTGCCTCGGCATTTAACAAAATGCCCGATCTTGACAAGTATTTTAAGACCGCACTTAGGAAAAAAAGAAATCATGGTTAATCAGGATTATTTCATCTATTAATCAACTGATTCAGTTTCACAATGGTAGGTATCTAGAGAATTTCTCCGTGAACCCAACAGCAGGAGCCATCATTTGAATTTGTCTCACATTGCATTTCGAGCTCCCTCTCCATATTTTTAAACAGCTCGGTGAAGATCCGACGTATACCTTTCCTAGAATTTTTTTTTCGTTTCCCATCTCAATATCCCAGAATTTACGGTCTCAAGTGGCAACGGGTATTGCGGGGGAGGCAGAGTAATTAGTCGACTCGGAGCCAGGCAAGCACTCGTACCTGGTCACTGATTTTATTATGAAATTATGATAATCACCCGCATAATTACTCCCTGACTTCTCGACCTCGTATTCCTAGTTCCTCTGTCGTTGGAAGCCTAGGTTCAACATTCAATTCGAACAGGTCTAGTCTGCCGAATGACCTGTTAGCGTCTGATGGAAGGTTGTCGGATCATCCGAAAGTGAATAATCAGACTTTTTATTTCATACGGGGAGGGCGAGAGGAGGAGAGAGAAAATTAAGAAACGTGTAAATCCTGATCACTCAAGAGGAGTAAAGCAACCGTTTTTATTTGTAAGCACTTCTGAGTGACAGACGAATCCAGATCCTTCGATCGTGGGGGGGGGGGGGGAGGGGGAGGCGAAGTAAGTTTGGGAGCTTCCCTTAGAAAATTTAAAACATTTTAAAGCATCTTATACGGAGTTTGGGTCAATTTTGACATGAATAATTGCCAAATATAAGCATCCCTTCCTCTTCTTTCCTTCATTCCTTCTTTCTTTCTTTCTGTCCTCCCTTTTTCTTCTTCCTTTTTTTTGGGCGAGCGGGGAGTACGCCCCCTTTGCCCCCTCTTTGGACCCGCCCATGGTGAGTGACCGCAAAACTGAAGAATTATCAATATACCGAGAATTCGTGATTGTCCGAAAAATGGCAGGACTCCAAATAACGGCAAAAATCTGTGAACAAAAACGAGTGCACCCGAAATTTCAAAAATGTTGGTGATAATAAGCAGATTCTAATCAAAGAGCAAAAAAAAAAAAAAAATTGGGTAAAAACGCAGCCTACCGCAGCCGCCCAACACGGAAATATTTTAAAAATATTGCTGAAATATTGTCAAAAACATTTTAACAATATTTTAACAATATCGAAATAATATTGCTGCAATAGTTTGTTGTCCGCCCTCCTGACAATATTGCAGCAATATTGTCAAGGTAATATTGATAATATATTTTAAAAATATTTACTTGCGATGAGGTTATCATATTCCATATCCGTGTGCGCGCACTCTAGGAGACGTCTTGGGTACTAATTTTCTTTCTAACGTACACATGCATCCAAGTTGTGGATCGTAGAGTTGTTACTGACCTTAAAATCCGCGCCGTCCTAGTCGGGATTAGAACCCACGCCTCGGGCTGGAGTTGATATCCGAAGTCCAGTACTTTACCACCAGACCAGCCAGGCTTGATGTAGATGAGCCCGTAAATTCAATCTCTTAACTATCGCAGGCCTCTGAGTCCGTAATATGTTTGTTTATTGACGGATTCTTATAATATTTTACCAGAATTTATTATTTATTATTTATTTATTATTTTTTATTTCATCCTGTAATTTGTGTTTCAAATTCTTTGTTAATTGTACTCAACATATTCCTATTCATGTATTACAAATTTTCGTTTTTTTAAACTCTCTCTCATTTTTTTCTTTACCAAATTACTGTTTTTTATTATTGCGTCTTTTTCCAGTTTTAATTATTTGAGCTTTTTCCTAGTTTGAATTTATGTCGATGTATTTATGTTATGTTATTTATTTTTTTCCCTTCTTTTTGTCTTTTCTTCCCCCCCCCTTTCTTTTTTCTAGAGATTGATTTTAGTAAGTTCCGCAAAATAATTGGTAAACAGAGCAAAACCATACGCTAATTTGGCAAACATTTTGAAAATCTAGCAAAAATTTTAGCCATAATAGCATAAACTAGTAATGTTAATTTCGCAAAAGTATAGTTTGCCATTTTCGCACAATAAAATTACCACTTTTGCAAATTGTTTTGTCGTTCTCGCCACGAGGGTGGGCATTTTAGCAAAAAAAGCAAATTGCAGAAATCGCAAACCATTTTTTGCCATTTTAGCAATTAATTTTTAAATATTACAAAAATATTTATAAAATATTTTTAACATAATATTAAACAAATATTTTTAAACTAATATTTCTAAAATAATTTTAAAATATTTTGTAAATATATTTTACAAACTGTTTTAAAAGTAATTACATAAATATATTTTGTAAATATATTTAAAACATTTTTATAAATATATTGTTACAATATTGTTATGAAATATTTTAGCAATATTGTCAACATATTTCTGCAGTGTATTTAAGGAAATATTTACATGACAATATTGTTTCAATATTGACAATATTGCTGCAATATTGCTGCAATATTTCGTGTTGGGCGGGGAGAGGCTTAACATGAAGACGCGATAATATGGCTCTTCAGTGAAGAGACGTTGAAAGTTTTTGGTGTATTTCCCGAAGGAAATATACTATTGTGTAATTAATTTTCAAAAATACTCCCGCATTTCGGAATTCGATGTGTTTATCATAGGAATGTAATGTCTCGACAGCAGCCAGTTTGGCAACCTCTTGTCAGAGGCTTTGCATTATGCGCGGCCAGCGCCTGGCTCATTGTTTTTTGCGCTCGAGGAATAGTAAACAGCTTAACTAATTTTTATGCCTCCTTTAATATCACTTAATTGTCGTCCTCTTCTGGGTTCATAATCGTCAGGGAGCAAAAACTCAAGTAGCAGGACGTGCCGGCATACTTGAAAGTCTGTCCTGATCCTTGAGTGACTCATATTAAACTGTCCACCAATTTTCGTAAGTCATCGCAGAATATGATTATTTTGAAAGTAGAAACTGAAGAGTGGTGGTCTCACACATGAAATCAGTTTTCATTTTGAGTTTTTATGAATGCGGGTACTTTAGATTTATTGATGGGTTCCAGATATCATTGGTCAATCAAGTGCTGCAATCAGAAAACATGTTGCCCAGTGCTAACATTTTTATCTCTGTCTAGAGAACCCGTCTGCCGTGCTGAAAAAAGTCGTATGATCTTCCAGGCGTTGCCAAATTTCCTTTGATTAAATACGAAATTATAGAGAAAGTTAATATTTCTCTTCCAATTTTGTTCGCAACTTATCCAAAATATCTGATATTTTCAAGAAAAAGTATGCACAGCTTTCTTCTAAAATACATGTTTATCAGGGGGAATTTGGTAACTTACGAATTTTCATACGGTGTCTATATATTTAGCACGACAGCAGTTAATATGACTCTAATACATACATGCGTATACATGTAAGTCGCTTTATAGCACTCCTTGGCGCTTTACGACACCTAACCTCCACTGTCCCCTATCGAACCACAACCCTTCGGGCATTGAGCGTCTCAGCATTTTTGCCTCAATCCCATTCCTCCAACCTCTCATTGGGTGCCCTTTGCGCCTACTCCCAGGAGGAACCGAATCAAGGACCTTGTTTTGCAACTGTATCTTGTCATCTTCTGAACATGGCCATACCAAATGAGTTTTTTCGTCTTACACGGAAAAAAAAACCTCGTGCGTGGGACCCGAAGTTTAGGTCATGTGGATCTCTGAAGTTTTCAGATTGAGCATCTGAGCACTTAAGGTTTAGCTGTCGAGGTTCGGATCACACATCTGAAACTTCAGTTCTTACATCTGAAGTACTTCAGATGTGAGAACCGAACTTTTTCGGATGTGAGAACCGAAGTTTTTCGGATGTGAAAACCGAAGTACTTCAGACGTAAGAACTGAAGTTTCAGATGTATGATCCGAACCTCGACAGCTAGACCTTAAGTGTTCAGATGTTCAATCTAAAAACTTCAGTGATCCACATGACCTAAACTTCGGGTCTCACCCGCGAAGTTTTTTCCCCGTGTAGGAGGAACCCAATCAAGGACCTTGTTTTGCAACTGTATCTTGCCATCTTCTGAACATGGCCATACCAAATGAGTTTTTTCGTCATAATGTCTCTAGTATGATGTCGTACCATTTCTAGGAAGCTAACGTGGTGGGTTTTTTGTGTTGCAGGTGTGTGAGATGGCGGAGGGCGTTCGGCGTCGGCTGTTCCAGGACGAGGAGCCGGTGGCCGGGACCGGAGGCTCCGGGGGGCGCGGGCGGGGCTCGGAGCCGGGGGCCGGCGAGGGCGAGAACATCACCAACAGCCTCCTGGAGCAGATCAAGCTGGAGCAGGAGGCGGCCCGCGACCGGTGGAACTTCGACTTCGAGAAGGAGGAGCCGCTGCCCGGGCGCTGGGAGTGGGTCCGCAAGGGCGAGTCCCGCTTCGAGAACTTCGGCGAGGACCAGGACGAGTACTTCCTCGCCCGGGAGCAGCCGGAGGCCCCCGACCAGGACAGCAACCACAGCGACGTCTTCCTCGACGCCCACGCCTCCATGACCCTCGCCCAGGACGACCCGGGGCAGGAGACCCAGAGACCGCAAGAGAACGACAGCCGCGCCGACGATTCCGGCCCCATGCGGTAGAGTAAGACCAAGTTTACATCTTTGGTGATTAGGAAACTGCCCTCACTTGAGGCACTTAAGATCAAAACCTCAGGGCGGTCTGGCCAGGGGTGCTAGGGTGTCATAGCATCCCAGAAATTTGGCTCAGGGGACCCCCAAAACTTGGAAACCCCGCATGAAGGAGTACTTTTGGTAAGTTACTGGGGTTAAACACGAGAAAGCGGACCCCGAAATCGTATCCGCACCCCCAAGGATGTTCGAGCCAAACCGACACTGCCCCTATCTCCAGCTCCGGGCCGAGTATTGAACGTTTAAAGAAGTCCGACAGTGGCGTGGCGTGCTTTGCGATATATCGATTGAGTTACCATTTAAACCTGTGGGAAAGGATCGATTATTAGGGTGTTCGCAGCGAACACCCTAAAAATCGATTCTTTATCACAGCTCAAAAGGGAAAATATCGATAATCGATCATTCACGCCTCGCCACTGAAGCCCGAAGACCTCAAAATGCGATATATTGCTTGTTTAAGATAGAGCTGCGTGTAGTCTTGTCATGTAACGTAGTTTCAATATTCTGGCTGCTGAAATGATTGTTTGAAATCTTCGAAAAACTGTTTTTCTCTACCCAGGACCATGCCAGCAGCCAATTTTTTAAAATCTAGTGTCTGTTGATTAGACAAGAGGAGACAATGGAAGAAATGGAGTTTTGTGATTGGTCAGCTTCGTCAGTCGTATTTTTTGTCGTGGCGGATTTGACGACGAAGTAACGGAAACCCAAGAGGTGACTTTAGCTTCTCGTTGATTCCACCCTGTCATAGGCACGAGAAAGAGGTTAATAGACAAAGCAGAGTAACCAAATGACACCATTCCTCCATAGTTCTGTTTAGTACCGTTGAACATCACGAAATTTCAAAAATCAGGCCTGAGGAGTTCGGATTGAATTTCTCGAAAAAAAAAGGATTTTACCGATTTGATTCTACAAGACTATGTAATTCTGAAAAGCCTAAACATGGAAAGCAATAATCCAACATAACCTCATTTCTTGGTGAAAAAGTAAATATTTTAGGTTTTGATCTTTGGTGCCTTGCTTTTTTGATATCCTTCTCGTTCTTTAAAAGGTGATGAAGGATCTCACAAAGGGTGGAGCCCCTAGGAAATACATGCAAGTATTTTTTTTTTTAAAAAAAAAAAACCTCTCGAAAACTTATTAATTGTCTCCATCAAGTTTTTGCTGATACTTTGATGGAAATTTTTGACTTAAACTCGCTCTAGTCCACAGAGTCTTTTGGATGCTCTAAGAGACTTTTAATGAAAATATATTGTAAAAATGCAAGTATTAGAACGCTGAAATAAGGTGCCTCAAATTATCGTATGATTCGTTTCATAACGAAGTTTTTCCAGTCCGACTCATATGAAACAATACCGCAGTACGTTTACCAGGAAAATTCGCACGGAATCGCTTTATATCATCTCAGAAACTCATAGCTCATCCAGAGTCTGAATTTTTAAGAAAAGAACAAAGTATGATGTTATAGAAATACTTAAGCAATAAATTACATGCTTTCTTCAAGTTTTAGTTTCCGGATGGATTTTTTTCAAATGTATTTTTTGTCGCTATTTTTAATAGCTTTTTTAACTATAGACTTATGGGTATGTTTTTCAAGAATTATATATCCTATCTGAATTTCATCGGATATGGTGGTGCCTAGAAGACCATACCGATCTATGTTATATCAGACTAAATATCATTATTGTGAAATATTTATTTCTATCTACTTAAAAAAGTAGCCTTGTTACAAAGTTGACAAATTTTATCTCAAAGGTGACTTCATCCACTTAGCTAGTCAAAACCCCACAAATTTATGTATATTCTAGATTTCTATTTTATTCGAGTCCATTTATAGATTAATTGTGCGTGTTTTGTTGTATTAGGTGCACTCAAATTTTGTAGATAGAAAAGCACAACACTCGGTTTTGTTTCTGGTTAAAAATTGCACATGCACAGCGTATTCTAATCAAAATTTGCACGTTGTTTATCTTCAATGAGTAGAGGCTTCGTTTGTGCAATATGAGTGTTTATAGACTTCTCTTTTTAAAAGTACCGGAAAAGGGGACTTCCATTCATTCTCATCATGATTCATTCGTGTCACAGGCTTTTAAAATTGTATGAAAAATTGATTTTTTTTTTTCAAATTGAATGGATCAATTTTCGTTTTTGAAAACGTACATTTTCCAAAAATGCATATTCAAATTTATGAATTTGCACATTTGTTAATAATTTATTTATGAATTTAAATTATCGTCGCATCTTCGGCATTTTTTCAATGAAAAAACTTTGATCAAATTGACTGGCAGCATCATAGCACCGAATATCTTTTAAGCAACACTATGCCATCAAATATCCAGCAACGACCATGAGCTCTCATAGAAGTCCCCTTTTTCGAAGCTACGTCTCTTTTGTGAATTGTAGTCCAGGAGAAATACGAAACGTTTCGCACGTTATCGATTCTCTATTATTTATTTTATTAATTTATTTTTTTAAATTATTTTTCAATCTTAGGCGGTACGGTGGCATGAATTAAAAAGGTGGGTATCATTCATTTCCCTGATTTTGGTTCGTAATCGGTAACAACTTCATTTCATTCCATCTGAATATGTAGAAAGAGAGCGCTTACGTTCATAAAGGAGACTTACTCGTCACCTTTCATGTTGTACTTTCTACAGAGTGATCCAAAAGTCCCGTACCACTTCTATAATTTCAAATGTTCTTGCTCCTTTTCAAGGTGGACCCTTCAAAATTTTAAGCTGCCTCAAAGATCGTTTTTTTGACCTAGGAGCACTCAGAAAATGCCAAGCCTCCATCTCAATTTGTCTAAAAGTTACAGGAATTATACTTGAAGCTAGTGGTGAGGAACTTTTGGATCACCCTGTATGCATTTTCTTTTGGAGAAGTTAGTAAGGATATTACCGAGAGACGACCTCATGAGGGAAAATATTTAGATATGCTCTGTAGATATGCACTCACGTAAGAGTAAAGCGTTAAGTTCCTTTTCGTATTTTTAGTAGTTTATATAGTTAATTGAAAATCTAGTGAAAAAAGTATTGTAAATATTCTAAAATAAAAGAAGATACAGCGGATTTATTGAAAAAGAAGCATTTTGTGGTAAATCGAGCCATTCGGCGCAATTATTTACAATGCGTGTTCTAGGGAAAATTTGTGCCCAGAATATTCTCGTTAGGGGAGTAAGAAAATTGTTATGGGCGAAATTTTTGGGGGAATAATTACCTAAGTTCGAATCGGCTTTAGTTTATTGACGTGACTTAACTTTCCATCGTTTTTGAACGGACTTTCTATCACAACTACCGAAAAGTTCAGTCCCTTGAACAAACAAAAGCCGGTGAGTTCTATTGAACCAAATATTATTTCCGTGATATCAAAAACAGATTCTGGGCTTTACATTCTATTCGTAGGTTATTCTATAGTCCTAGAGCGAAGTCTGTTCCCTGTTATGAAAATTCGAGTTTTGATCTCATCAAACTTTCAAAAAGCATAGAAAAATGAAGAATAGCGTACATAATTTAAAGTCCATTGTTATCATATCGCACAGCAAAACTTGCTGAGAATGTATTTTCTTTTTCAATAATAGCCCTATAAGGTATGTCAATATCCTCTCATTTTATCTTGAACGACTGCTTGAAATTTAGTATTTATTTAGACATATTCTCTATTCATTAATTTATCTCACTGATTAATTATTTACTTATTTGTTCTAGTAGTACTGTGATTTTTTGTACCGCGTACTCGTAGAGTAATCGCGTAATATTTTCTGTAAGAGAGATGGAAATTTAATCTTAATGTGCGAGATATCTCATCAGTATGTTTTCCCTCTCTTTTTATCTTTTATTTATTTATTCATTCATTTTTAATAGTTTGGAGCTTGATCTGAAACGTAGTTTAAAAAAATCAGATTAGAAGTTGTATGAAGCAATCTCCACTTCCAGAAATCCTCACTTGATGAAAACTGTTCGTCAAGTCTCCAAATTTCTGCATTCTCCGTACTTTTTTCTTTCGGACAGAGTTTTTTGATGTCTAGGTTTTTTCAATTGAGTAACGATGCAAAAATAATCATCCGTGAATTTATTTTAGTTTACTTAAGAAGAAAGGAATCACGACACTAACTTAAGGTACTTAAGGTACACTTAAGCTTTGTGTTCCACTATGGAGAGGTAATCGTATATTTAGAGCAATTTAGTGTGTTTAATGATCATACCGTCTACACATCCCGGCGACCTAAAAATCGCGACTCTCACAACAGATTCAGACGCAAACCTTGGATCTACCCAACCTCCCTCATCTTAATTATAGTTATCTTCCAGCTAGTTGCCCGGCGCGAGTGCAAGAATAATTTTGCAGTGCAAGACTCAGGCTTCAAGCGATAACCCTCGACTCTATTTGTATGCTCCTCTTCTTTTAATTAATTAATTGGCACTCACGTAACGCACGGCTTATCGACTTGCCTCTCTCATCAGTTTATTTCAGAATAATTAATGACTGGATTTTATTGAAATTGAGCGATTACGCGCTTGCAATCCGATGCGCTGAGATTCGCTTGCATTCGGGATGCACCCAATCTTGCATGCTATTATTTTATGCTTGTACGATTAATCAGTGGCACGAAGTCACCATGTGACGGACGATTTTTAACCGTCAAATGCAATGCACATACATTAGGAAAATTTTATCGCAATCTCGGTTTCAATGCGCGATGAACCTGGTTGTTGATTATACTGCAGAAAATGTCCTCAACCTAATTTCTCCATATTAGATACTTGTTTCCCATTGTAACAGTTTTTGTCCATATTTTCAACTTCTATTTTAAACCAGTTGCTTACTCAGGCACTTGTATATCCTACTGATGCATGGGTAAAAAACCCTGGACCATACTTAGTTAAGACCACACTATTGGGAATTCCAAATTCTAGCAGTAATGAAATGAACGCCAGCAGTATCTTACATCATTGTATCAGAAATTGGGCATTGCATGGAGATTGTTTCTACCTTTTTTTCGATTTTTTAATTTTATTTATTAATTTTCCTTTCTAAAAGTTTCTCAATGGTTTGTACAGACAAAGACAAGGCTGTGAAACATGTAATAGTGCTATATTTAGGTTTATTTTTAAGGAAGAATGTGTAATGCAACGCAATATATGTCATCTTTATCGTGTCAACAGTGACAAATCAAAGCTTATTGTGAACCTTGACTTTGGACCTCATAACTTCAAATGAAGCAACTGAATTGAGTGACTCGACAAAATTTCTTTGATAATATCGCAAACACTGTCGGTACAAGCGTAGGCATTTCTGAAAAATGTTTCGTTCGTTTATCTTTCAGAATTTTTAAGTTCATCGCATTACCGACATAAATATGAGGAGATGGAATGTTTCTCACCAATAGTATACCAAGATTCTTTTAGTAAAGGTACGATCTGTCGTGTAGATGAGTTGTCGTGAGGTTGCACGTCCAAGAGCACACAGTAGATGAAAGAATAGTAATTAGAAAATGCATTCTATCAATTTTTCATAACCCCCCTCGAGTTTTTAAAGCACCGCTACATTTTCCATGAAGTATCTGTTCACCTTTCGGTATCTGAAATCACCTAACTAAAAATTTCCACGCAAATTCATTACGTTAGATTAATTTAATATACTTTTAAGAACCTCTTCATTCACGCGCCAGACGGTCGAAAAGGGTCAAGTTGAACAGCAATATATATTTTCCTCATCTGAGCATTAGAATACTGCACTCTCCTTGTTAGGAGAGCAGTAATTAAACGTCATGTATTCACAATGACAGTAATTTCTCAGTTGCCACAATAGCATCTATAAGGGTATCTTGTGAGTCACGCTTTCAAGAACTACATTGATTCTATTTCCCATCGTGTTATGCTTTTCGCCAGTAAATATTACTAGTTCTCTCTAAATCGTGGGTCAATAATAAGTCTGGTTATTCAAGTAGAGTAAATTAATAATAAAACTTTTTTTTTTAATTGCTCTGTAAACCCGACGAAAGAAGAAAGCATGTCAGTATTGTCAGTCTCTCCGACTGATAAAAACATTGGATCTGGAAAAACAATATCCGTTTCCCGTCACTTTTTGTCTGAAACATTCTCATTTTGCAGCACTTTCAATATCGGATCTAGTGATTTGACAACAATCCATCGAAGAATCAAACGGGGCCTTAGCAAACGCCTTGCCTTTGGGAGCATTAATTACCCCCAGCAGTGAAGAGGAAAAGAAGGGTCATAAACGATCTCGCGCCGAGTTTATTGGTCCTCCGAGATGCAATTAGACGCGAACTCCGTGCATTAGAGTCTGGTCACGAAGCAGTGCGATTTTTCGAACGTCTCGAATTAAAAAAGAAAAAAAATCTCGAAATGCCTCAGCCTAAAACTTCAAGTCCGGGTGTTTATGATCCGGACGCAATACGCGTGCGGTGGTTTAGTTTCATGAATTTGATGGACAAAGTGAGTACTCCACCGAATACCTTTTTTAAAAAATAAAAATAGCATTGTGTTTAAATTGAGATGATTAAATTAAAATCGTTGAACCAATGGAGCCAAAGACACTAGGGAGCACACATTATGCTCCCTACTAATTTCTTTCAAAAGTTATTCCGAACGTTAAATGTTTTCTTGCTGTATTTTGCTGATCGGCGAAACGCTATGTTTACGGATTAGGTGTTACTTTAGAAATTTTTAAACCATATCGTGCGACACACACTCAAATGAAAAACAAATAGTAAATAAAGCAACGAATGAAAGTCATGCAAACTTTTTTAACCTTAAGTATACATTTCCAGAATCGAACTGGGTATCTAGTAACATGAAATAAGCTACAAACTAGATAAATTCTATGAATTTTTACAAATTTAATCTGGTAAAAATTGCGTTTAAAAAAAAACACTATTTATGAACCAAACTTAAAATTTACATTTTTATTGACGTATGAACTTTCAATTTGACCCGAAAATTTTAATTATTTGCACACATTTTGGTTCTCTTGATCGTAAGAAAAACCGCAGATGAGCGCGATTCTTCCCACTGAGCGACACCTCTTGAATCCCTTTTTATTCCCAGATCGGCCGAAACTCGTAAAAATTTGCACTATAAAATCGGCCTCCCCAGGCCGCATCAATAAAAAGAACAGCGCGCAGATAGGGATTCCTCTAACTCGGTACCCGTTTAATTGGTGATGCTCATTAGTACACCTCACATCGCGATGCTCTTTCGGTTTTCCGTCGTTTAGAGCCGTGATTCTGCGGTTTAATTTATCGCTTTGCAAATTTGCAATTGCAGGTTTGTTTTCGGAGGAAGTCTGGCCGTAAGCCGACGCGAACATGGGAACCGTCTGGTGCCCAGACAGAGGGTCAAGGCAAAGTGATTTCATCAAGTGATATCGATTGATTGCTTTCATCGATGCCTCCTTCGTCAATTCGGCAAAGGAAACCAAACAAGTTAGATCGTAACCAAATCTTCATCACCATATCCCCAAAAAATCTTCCAAAAATTTTCTCAAGGCTCTTTAGGATTTTTTTTTAATGAATCAATAAACAATTTTGCCGGTTCATTTTTTATTTTATTCATATGAGACTCCTTCATATTAAAATGATTTTTCATTTGAATGTGACTTTATGTAACTCAAAAAATTTACCGATAATGCGATGAATTTTTCTCCTTTAGTCTATGACTACGGTCCTTTAGACGGTAATCATCATACTTTAAATCTGAACTGATCAGTTTGACCGTAGCGTATTAAGATAGTTCGAAACATAGATGTCCATTCGACACATATCTTCGTAAATGATATATTTCTAGTATAATTAAATTTTATTTATTATCGTTATGCTTTTTTATTTTTATTTATATTTTTTTCTTTTAATATTTTTTAGATGTATGTAAGTAGTGCTTCGACGTACTCAGCGCCGGCAAGTGCATTGAGGAATGCGTTTGGGCTAGATATCACCTAATCATTGTGTTGTTGAAACGCATTTTAATTTTGTAAAAATATAGTAGGTAATTTTTTTTATAGACGTTTTTCTCCTTTTAAAATTATTAAATGTCTTTATTCTGTATATGTAGTTAAGGGACGATTGTGTAACCCGTGTGTGGTGAGCAGCTTATGCGAGCCACTCCACTGTAATATAGTAATGCACACATTCGAAGACAGCTAATAATCCAAAGACTGACAATGCTTTTCATACTAACTTAAGTTAATATGTAACTTAGTCTGTACAGTAATTTCACTTTTGTCTACTTATATGTAATAATTTATTCTCATGTATGTTGACTTAGTTAAAATTTGTAAATATTCTGATTTTCAATGTAGATGGTTTAATAAAAACAAAGTTGTTTAAAAAATAATCAATTTCTGTTTTTTCCCTCCCTCTCAATAAGTTGAGTCTTTAGTATGTTTTAGTTCAACGTTAAGTTGCAGACAAATAACTTAATTCAATAAGTAAACCAGGGTATCTCAACGGAAGAAGTAAATGCGGAAAGGAATTATAAACATTAATGTTACCGATAGAACAAACTTTTTTCTTTGTCTATTTCTCATCTTCAAAGTTTTTCATAAGATGGTCAGTGAAAATTGAAGAAATTGTGACCTACAACCACAGACTAAAAACAAGTTTAAAAACAGTAAAACGTTGTAAGACCAATAAAAAACCAAGGGTTCAAAAACTAAAACTTACTTCACATGATTTCAATTCATATAGTTCGTTTGCTTTTAATTCAAAGTATATCTGGTGTCTTTATAAAACAAAGAGGTTATCGCACCTTCAAATAAAACATTATTCGTAGGTACCATATTCTTAACCAGAAAATATTCCTAGTAATGTATACAAAGTTATATTTTTCAAAGTAACATATATTTTTTATACTATTCTTCAAGCCTAAAGAAAACTCACTAAAAGTATATTTATGTTGTGGTCATTCAGAGGCATTCTTCAAACCTCAAGATATCACACATCATCGTGTCTTCATTTTAAAATGGATGAGCCTGGCCACATTACCGCGAGCAACTATTCCTGCTCCTGAGCCGCCCACATTGCCTACTTCAGTTTTGAAGGCGAAATAGACAGAATGAGGGCGCAATGATGCACTGTTGACAGTAGTCCTCTGATAGAATGTTTAATGCAAATGGTTATAGTCACATTGGTGTTTACCTAATTTCCGAATTTTAGAGAGAGGGTAAAAGTTGTCGGACGAACAATTATTACTGAGCTTGCAAGGAGAGGAATTTACAAGAAAAAGAGGAGAATAAGAAAAATAAAATATTGACAGAAACCTTAGAAACTTGTAAAAATTGAGCATGTTTTACCATTAAAATAGCTGATTGGAAATTCAGGGAGGGTGGGGGAAGTTAAAAGCTCCTCCACCTTTCGACAACGATGCCCCTTCAAAAAATAAAACGAGACTTAATTCACGCTCTGCTGGTCGATTGTCGAATCATTATCGAACAAACTCGAACCATAACTCCCTATCTTAACAATGCTGTATATCGATCAAGGTCATTCGATAACGATTCGACAATCGAGGCACTGGGCATGAGAGTTCCCAAACCGTGAAAGAGGGCCCCGAACGGAAGGGTGTCGGCTGAGATTTTGGTGGTTATGGCCATGGCCGGAGTGCGTGGCAGCGGCCGTAACGAGACAAAGGGCCCCCTNGGGGGGGGGGGGGGGGGGGGGGGGGGGGGGGGGCTGGAGTCGGGGCCATGGCCACTTAGCTGGAACAAGTGCGACGCCGACGCCTCGCTCCGTGGAGTCGCATCCACATCCGGCCTGGTCAGTCTCATTTCCGCCTCACCTCCAGGCGCGGTGTTCCAACCCGATCATCCAGGTGACGAGGGGGGCGGAGGAGGCACGGGGCGAGGGTGGACAGCTCGACAGCGCGTCTAGCTCGGGGCTTCCTCAAAGGATTATAACCCCTATCCGTCGTGCTGAGGAAAAACGCCGTATGAACGTTCCGATGTTGTCTACTTCATTTATGAACTACGCATTTTCTGGAGATTTTGGGATTATTCCTCCTTGAAACATTCGGAGCGTTTCCTCCAGAGTTTAGTCCAGCGCTCCTGGGAATTTCAAGGGAAAATATTCATATCTCTAATAAAAGTTTCGTCGTTGAAAATTTGACAGCAGTCGAAGACTCATACAGTGTGCTTCGATAGCATAGAAATATAGGAAAAGCACGAAGGGAGTATTAATGTGTACTCGAGAGCTAGAAAAGAATTTCATAATCAGTCGGATTTAGATTTCGTTCGATACTTTTGTCTACACTGACACGTGGGGTGGATCAAAATATAACGAAATCCTTGGAGTCATCTATGATATCGTTTAGTTGACGAATTAGATAGATTTTATCAAGGACGAAGAAGAAACTTCAATGTCAATCCTGCAAAATGTAAAAAGTCTAGTAAAAGACGAATTTGTATTGTAGAACTGGGTATGTGTCAGGTAAAAAAGAAAGGAACTTCTCCCATGATCTGCAGGCCGATTATTGAAACTGATAGACAAAGCTATAGACGAAGACGACAAAAGGGATTTGGAGGGATCCTATTGGTGGAAGCGGGTGGTGGCAATGGACATAGGAGGTAGGTAATGGACTAACTAACGGCAACCCACCAAAGACCGGACAGTTAGTCCATCATTTTCTTCCTTAGTCTATAAGAACCAACCATGTCAACCAATAGGATCGCTCTATACTCCCTATGTCTTCTTTGTCTATCGCTTTGTCTATCAGTTTCAATAGTCGGCCCGCTGGTCGACTCATGACCTCCAAGAGAAAAGAACGTTACTACATTACCCATGCATGAAAACGTATCAACTTTCATATTAATCCCACAAAATGTAAAAAAGTGTCAAGAGAAGAGAATTTTGTGATCCATGACGAGGTGTTTGCGTTATAGTTAACTAGGAAGATTCTCTCACGATCTGGACTAATTGTGGCTTTCCAGACCTAAAAAAGCAACTGAATTTTGGCCAGGCCAAATTTTTCACTCAAAAATTGTACCCTCATCTGGAGAACAAAGTGCGTTTTTGATTAAAAATTTCATTGACTTCTTTTCTGATTACATGAGAAATTCAGCGAAAGTTTGGACAGAAATTGAGCAACTTTATTGTCTCCAGGGCCGGATTTACCTACTAGCCACCCATGGGCCGCCTGTATTTTGCCGCCTCCTTCTTATTCGTATTGAAATATCAATAAAAACTATCAAGTGAACGTGCCAGCGGGGGAGGGGTGCATAAGACGCGTTTACTTGTGTTGAACACATGTTTTAGAAATGCCCTGTCAACACTACTAGCAAAAGTTAAGTTTCGTAAACCTATCTCTGTGTGAACAAAGCCTTTCACTCATAAGAAATGAACAAAAAAATTATGAAAGAAGAAACATGAATGTGGTTTAATGATTTTAACTTCCGCCGCCGCGCCGCGTAGACCGCACCGTGTTTGGCGCAATGCGTGAAGTATTCACGCAGTCTTGTAGGCGCCATGCGTTTCACGCTGACCGCATTGCGTTTGGCGCAATGCGTGAAGTATTCATGCATTCTTGTAGGCGCTATCCGTTTCACGCTGACCGCAATGTGTTTGATGGAATGCGTGAAATATTCGTGCAGTCTTGGAGGCGCTAATCGGCTTGTAGAGTCTGTTCGGTTGTTTTGGCATGAAATCAAACGTGGGATTTTGTTATATTCTAGTCCGCAGTTGCGTATCCCATGAGGAGGTGAAAAAATTACGGAGAAAAATGGTATTGCTGATTTAACAATTTTGCGGTTAAAGTAAGTGTCCGACATGTTTCTGTGTAGATTTTACAATAAAAAAATGCTAATTTACCAACCCCCGTGGTTAAACTAGCATACCACATACGTGGTAAAATACGTGGTTAAATTAGCTATACATTTGAAACATGTCGGACTTATTTTTTAACAATGTAATTGTTAAAATAGCAATCATTCTTTTCCTGTGAGTACATCGTAGTAATGCGTAAGTTTGAAATATCTGGATTTTTATTCTACCCGATAACATGACGTCACGGTAGGATAACTCGAGAGACAACGTATAGGACGGTGGTTAGCAGTGGCTAAGACTCCTGCCCGTGTGAATGAGCTTCGATCGGAAATTGGCTTGGGAGGGTTGACCAGATTACAATGCGGTGTGGATTACATGTGGGTAGAACTTCCTCAAAGCTGTGTGTCTAATCGATCAATCGGATTGATTTCGATTACTTGGATCGTATTCTTAAAAATAGATCCAGCCCGCATTAGACGTTGCCAGCCTTCCGGTTCGTTGACCAGTTTGATAAATTTAATAGCCACTCACGATTGATTCGATGATTGATGAACATAGCCCCTATCAGAACTTGGATCATTATCAAGACTAGTCAAGCAATCTAAAAGGGCTTGGGATAGATACATATCTTTCCAGAATATGGATCGGTCATTTTTATTACTTGAATTCTTAGACAGAACTACATTCCTCTTATCTTGATTTTTCCGTTCGTTTAAAATATCGTTGCATCGGCGCTTGAAGTTTTTTCTTCCGTATCAATTCTACATGGTGTCTTTTTGGTCTTAGTTTTGTGATTCTGGCTTTGCGTCATTCCATTCATCGTTCATCTTCGATTCGTTTTTACTCAAAGTGAAAAGATTCATCACATTAGAAAATTTGCATGAGAATATTTGGATGCTGCATTCAAGATTGCAAATGAGATGCGCTCACAGTATTTTTCATACTTTTTTCAGACTTTGGAAATAGTCGAAAAATATACATTTAAAAATTTAAAAAAATCTGCTGTTTGATGACGTCACCAGGCGGCATTTCCCATTTAAACTCATGTGATTTTGCAGATTAGGTCGTTTGGTCCTATATCCTCCAATAATAATTTGTTCATTTTAGAGACCAACGATACTATCATGCTCTTTGCACTTAGTGGTTTCTTCTTGAACATTAAATTCAAAACTTTCAGACGCCTGCAAATTCTCCATTCCATCATGAGAGGGTTGCATCAGTTATTTCCAGATACGAAGTCCTTCGATGAAGTTGTAAATTTTTCATGTCGACGATGGAACTGCAATCGCGCGAATTTTATTTTATCAGAAGGAACACTAAATTGCTGTTGCTAAAAATGTTTACAGATCATTTTCCACCAGAAGAAATAAAATCAGAACAGTTTTCGAGCAATGAGGATGAGTATTGCTCTACTCAGAAAACGCATTACGGCAGAACTTCTGCAGCGTCGCGAACCGAGGTTCGTTTTTTTGCAGTTTCACTGACCACTTGCATTATAGTCTAGCATATTACTTAAGTTTTTTCTGAACTTTTAGTAACTTAACTTCAGAGAGAAGGCTTCTCACTCATAAAAATGGC